GTTTACCATTGTTTGGTTTACATTCTCTGTGTTTACCAATGTTTGGTTTACATTCTCTGTGTTTTCCAATGTTTGGTTTACATTCTCTGTGTGTACCAATGTTTGGTTTGCATTCTCTGTGTTCAACAGATTTCCAGTGGTTTCTAGTTGCTCTAGTTTTGACCTGGGAATGTCTTGATCGCAGTTATCATCTTGTAAATCATATTGCCAAAATGGACCTCTGTGGAGGCATAACCACTTGTGGCCAAAATGTGAGAACATAGTCTCTAGCCACTGAGCATAATGCTCTTCAATTCCCAGATTTTGGTTGGAGTTTGCGGCAAAATACCCGATGTTATAGTCTAACAATCCAAATGGCATTCTGTTCATTGGCATCCTAGTCTCAAGGGTATCATTATCTCTTCTTTTGAAACAAATGCAAAGGTTGTAAACAAGATTGTGTTTCTCTTCAGCAAGAAGGGATTGCATTGCCTTGAGGCTCAGGTCGAGAAAATTTGGCCTTATAAATGATGCCAGCTCTGGTCCACCTTCTTCAATTACCAACTGCTTGTACAGAAAGCATAGTACTTGCCATTTCATTCTTTTTGTCATCATAACAGTTTGGGAAATGAAATCTTTAACCATATCTCCAGTTGTTGATGTTGACAAGTTCTTGTTTGGTGACTGACTGAACATAGGAGACAGCAATCCCTCTGCAACATTAGCCCAAGTACTCATATCTCTTCTTGCTGGTGTGGAGTGGCCAATAGCTTCATTGGTTAAGTCCTTCATGTCAACAACATAATCTATCTGAAGTGCTTCTTCTGCCTCTTCAATGGTTTTATACATTTTGGACAAATGCTTGATGACTCGTGTTCTGCATGATGCCCCTATAATCAAGAAATATGACAATGAGTGTGAAAATAACTTTTCTGTATTTTTGGTTCTGAAGATGATTAAGTTGAGGCCATTAATAGACCCATCAAGATTGACAAGTTTACGTTATAAGTATTTTTTGTAAAACAATGTTTACATTATAACACTCATCAATTATAAGTTATGCATTCACTCACTATGCAGCATAATACTGTAGAACACAGTTAAATGCACTTACCAGTTCTTGTTGTCTTGCATACATTCATCACAGCATCTGCACACCCACTCCAAAATTCATTGTTTTTGAATGTTGGCCACTTGTTTTCATGCGCATCCTCCCAAAAAAGACAGATGTACTGCACCAGGGCAGTTTCTTCCTTGGTTGTCCATTTCGTCCAAGAGGACTGTCCATCAGTGCTGTTTTCTTCTTTTCCAAATAAGCACTTTCTACGTGCCTCTAAATTTTCTGACCCTTGTACATTGCGGATTTTTGCCGCTGCTTTACCAGGTGTATTGCCTTCAGGAGCGGATGGCCGCTTAACACTTGCTCGTGAATTTGCCTGAAAGTGACAAGTTTATATCAAAATTAAAGGATTTAAGATTGGGGAGCGTTTGGGAGCGTTAACATAGTTTGCTTAATCAATACTCTTTGTTATTATTTCTGGAAATTTTAATGCGATAGATCAAGTTTTAAGTCTTCTATAACAAAAACAAATCAAGCTGTTCAAAGACTGTTCAAAGTACTGCATGACAAGTCATACAGACAAAGCCTTAAAAAACCATTTTAAAAAATATAACAACACACATGGCAAATACTAAAAATAGTAGCTATTCTATTTAACTGAAATAAAGTTTAAAAAGACAGCCAGCTTGAAAAATAGCTATAAAATATGAACTTAAACTTACCATAACATTCAGCCAAAATCCGCCATTGCTAGCTTTCACGCTAAAAATTGGCTCCCAGAAGCCTTTGCGCCGTAGTGCGCACACCGCCTGCCCTCTCACTATGAGGAATCTAATGATATGCATTTTATTGCAGGGAAATGTATAGAACTCGAGGTATTGTGGAATTGTATATACTCTAGGTCATTATTCAATACCACTCATATTTCAAATTTTGAAAAGATAAAAATATTCTATGTATAGCTATGTATAGCATATCAAAAGATTCCTCTCACCATGAGCAATCTAATGATATGACTTGTAGGGGAATGTACAGAACTGGAGATATTAGTGAAAATGTCTCTACTACAGGTCATTTCAAAATAATCGAAAGTCAGCTATTTTTTATTTTGAAAAGGAACTATGGTATAAAGAGCTATGTATTTGGTATAAATGCTCTCATCATGCGGAATCTAATGATATGCATTTCAGGGGGATATCTACAACTTGAGTTATTAGTGAAAATGTCTCAACTCTAGGTCATTTTAAGAGAATTACATACCACTCATATTTTTAAGAGAATTACATACCACTCATATTTTCAATTGTTAAAACTCACCCACACTAATAAGCACACTAATATATATCTCATTCCAGTGGAATCAATACAACTGGAGATATCAGTGGGATTGTTCCCATTCTTGGTCATTTTAAGATAATCCAGGGTAAGTCATTTTTTTTTTGAAAAGTAACTATGCTATATACAGCTGTGTATGGGATATCAAAAGATTGCTCTCATCATGAGGAATCTAATGATATGCATTTCATTGCAGATCATTAGATACAGGGGGATATCTACAACTTGAGTTATTAGTAAAAATGCCTCAACTCCAGGTAATTTTAAGATAATTACATACCACTCATATTTTCAATTGTTAAAAGAGAAATATGCTATTTACAGCTACGTATGGTATATACACAGCTACGTATGGTATATCAAAATGTTCCTCGCACCATGAGGAATCTAATGATATCCATTTCATTCCAGGGGAATTTATATAACTGGCGATATTAATGATATCCATTTCATTCCAGGGGAATTTATATAACTGGCGATATTAGTGAAAATCTCTGAATTTTTGTCATTTTGACAAATCAAATATCACTCATGTTTTCACTCATAAATTGTATTTTGTACAGCTCTCGCAAACACGATTTCCCGCATTTTGGCAGCGGAAGTTTGAAAAATGTTTGCCGAAATCAATCGTCAATTTTTCCAATTATGTCTTGTACAATCTTGGCAATTATGCCTAATCAAACATACATTTTTCACTTACCTTTGTATATATAGTCTTATGGGTGTTAGTCATCATTATTTTTCAAACATACCAGACGTCAAAGATACCTCCTTTTGTACTTCATACTGTTTGAAAAGGAAATACAGGTTATCTTTTGTTGTGGAAAGTAAAAAATGTTTCACAACACAAAAAATAGTCCTACATTGCCTTTTATTGTCGCTCTAAAATATGCTGCCTCAATTGCTTGCTAAACAATGAAACAGTGCAGGAAAACTTGACACTTGCCACAGCAAAAGGACATATCAGGAACACTACTAATCCAACAGTCAAACTTTTATAAAATGTTCAAGGCAAAGGATCTTCCAACAGCAGCAGATAATAACACAGTCAGGGGCGGATCTTGGGGTAGTCAAACTAGTCATGCAACTAGGGTAAAAATTGCACAGACTTAATTAATTCAGAAAACTTCCAAGTACTCCAGTTTCAATATTCCATACAGTGTCCGAAGTCCAAATGACCAAATCAGATGTCCAAATACTCTCCAGTAAGTCCAGTTATATATTTCATGCATCGCTTGAGCCAGCGTGCAGATTAGTCAAAAAAGCGAAGGTCTGCGTGAGTTTTGACTAATCTGAGGTAGATTCAACGCATTTGATTGGTCAATTTGCATTTTGACTAAAGTTTGTGGGGGGTTGACTAAATTGCGTAATATTCTAGCATTTTGATTGGTTGTTTAAAGAAAATTTCTGGCTTCTGATTGGCATGATGCGTTTGACTAGTTTGCTGCATGGGGTAATCTAGTCAACTTCAGTCAATAGGAATAATAATAGCATTTTAGTCCTTCTGACTGCTCCTTGACTGGAAATTTTCAAATTTGTTGGAGATTTTTGATTGAATATCAGCCAGTATAATGCCAGTTTACGAGTATGAGACAATCAGGTCTGCGATTCAAAGAGACGACCTGAAGTGAAATGGTCATGGAAATGAAGCAAATGTAACATCAGTCGAAGAGCTTCTTGCCGCTATTTACAACGGAAACAAAATGCTGTTGAGAAATTTCCCTATGGAAATTTTTATACCCTCGTATGCTCTTGGAAAGAACTGTACAGCAATAAGGTAAATAATTCTGTTGATTTTCATATAGGCTGTATATTCAATAATAATGAACTCAAAATACATGTTGTGGCACTTGTATGAGACATTGTATTTGCATATATTTGCGGTTCCCGGTCAGGCCAAAAGGTCATTTTGAGCTGATTATAATTTCATATTAGGTAATATTTTATATTTACATCTACCAAGCTTTTCTGTCAGGATTTTTATCTAACAAACCAGTTTATGACACGGATAGAAACATAAAAGTCGAAGCTTAAAGCTTATAAAAGCATAGTTTTGTCGTATAGTATGATGTAATATGATCTGTAATATGCCCATGATGAATATTTGTAAAATATTTTGTGAAGTTCTTTGTGAAGTATTATGAGATATTAAATATCGTGTGTAAGACTACCCTAAAAGGTTTTGGTTTATTCTAGATCTGAAGAGTCTGGCAACTGTCTGTATAGTTCTGCATCACTGGTACTGGTAGGTGACAATAGACTAATACAATGTTTGAGGATATTAACCTCAATTGAGCTCTTTTTGAATGGCAATTTTTACTCGCAACATCCCTGCTTTTTGTCAGTTGCAACTGAGCATAGTGAATACTTTCACAAAACTGCATGGAATCTATTACTTTTGTCTGTGTCAGAAAAGTCATTAGATACTGGTTTAACCAAAGATGATTTTGTAAAACAAGAAGCAATTCTAAATTGTAGGGATAGGCAGTGGTCATCCTTTTTATGTATCCTTGGTCTTTCTTCAGTATTGTGTAGGGATTTTTATACCTATTACCCTGATTGTGGTGAGGATAGGTATAAGCTATATTCAATAGGCATGTGCAGCCCCGCCAGGATGCTCAGAAAAATGTGGATAATATCCATATTCTCTTCTGTCATGAAGGTATTATTAAGGCTGGAGAAACCTTTCAGCCTAATCATTTTGTCCCCCTTCTCTTCCATTCGCTTCAGCAGAAACATAAATCTGCTGTTGGTTCTCAGGTATCAACAACTGCCAAGAAGAAAAAAATAGCACCTATATTGCCTAAGAAAGCATCACAAGCTTCACCTAACATTTTAAAGTTTTTCCCCAAAGCAGAAAAGCCTACATTTGATTTTAGAGCTCAGAAAGCTCCTAATGAGACTTTTTCTTCTGCTGAAGCACTTGCTGCTCATAAGAAAGTTGTGACATCTGCCCCTTCAGGTTCAGTGGGTGCTTCTACTAAAGAACCCCAGAGTGCGACATCTATGTTACCCACTGTTGAGGTGAAGCAGAGTTTTGCCAATAACTTTGACATTTCCTTGTATAGAGAGAGAGTTAAAGGTATGGATAACTCTGAAGTTTGCCATTTAATCAATAATGTTTTTAAACCAAACAAGCACTTTCCTTTTCCTGAGAGAGGTGGTAGGACCTTTAGGTACGAGTGGCTAAATTTATATGCCTGACTATGTTATTCACCTCACAAAGATGGGGCTTATTGTTTAGCATGTGTTTTTTTTGGCGATCGCTTTCCTGCAAAGGCTGCGAAAATCCATAAGTTATTTTCAGAACCTCTTACCTATTGGAATAATGCTGTTTATACTTTCAAACAGGATACTGGTTTTGGAACAGGGGGGGAAATGGGATTGCATGGTAGTACATTCCCTATTCTATCTGCCTTACTAGCTCAAATCTCCGGGGCAACTCAACCAATTGAGATTATTGTAGACACCAATCTTTAGAAAGAGGTTCAGGAAAATAGATCTAAACTTGCTTCAATTATTGATACTGTTGTCTTTTGTGGCCGTCTTGGTTTGCCATTACGTGGGCATCGTGATGATGCCAAATATCATCCTGAAGTTGGAAGCTATTCCACTGGGGGTGTTGGTAATTTTGTTGAATCCCTTAATTTTAGAGTTAGAGCAGGAGATAAAATTTTAGAGGATCATTTAAAGACTTGTGGAAAAAATATAAGTTACATTTCCAAGACAAGTCAAAATAAGATTATCAGCTGTTGTGGTCAAGTGATCAGTGATAAGATCATCCAGGATGTAAAACAAAGCAAGTTTTTTACCATTATTGCAGATGAGGCTGCAGATTCTTCCCATAAGGAGCAGCTCTCCCTTGTTTTATGGTTTGTTGATTCAGATATGACTATCAGAGAAGAGTTTATTTCATTTCTAAACTGTAAATGGGGGTTAAGTGGTGCCCAACTTGCAAAACTTATTTTAGATGCATCAAATGACTTATCTTTGCCTATAGATGACTACAGGGGGCAGGGCTATGATGGGGCAGGGCTATGATGGGGCAGGTGCAGTTGCTGGGCACATCAATGGTTTGGCTGCTCATATTTTAAGGCAAAACCCAAAAGCACTCTACACCCATTGCTATAGCCATAGACTTAATTTGTCTGTATGCGACTCTCTAGCTATAGTTGAGGTAAAGAACATGCTTAAATATGTTAACGAGGTATCTCATTTTATTAATATTTCTCAAACACGAAATATTCCTTTTGAAGATAGTATTAAAACCCATAGTTCAGATACTGAAAGCAGAAAGACCAAATTGGGTGATGTTTGCAGAACCAGGTGGGTTGAACATGTTGAGGGTTTGGATACATTCCCGGAGCTTTTTGTGCCATTATTCCATACTCTGAAAGACATGACAAATAATGTAGATAACCAGTTTAATCCTTCTCTTTCAAGTGATGCATCCTCATTTCTAACACTCATTTCAAAGTTTGATTTTGTTGTTGCATTAGTTATAACCAGACATGTTTTTGATGCAACACTTTCTGTCACACAGCTTTTGCAAGGGAAAAGCATTGATATAATGGATGGCATTCACATGATTAACAGTTTAAAGAATAATATTATTATAATGAGGAATTCTGTTGACACATATCATGATATGTAGTATAATGAAGCTTTAACATTAGCAACTAAAGTGAATATTGAAGAGTCTAAGTTAAGAACTGTGGGTAGACAAACTACTAGGGCAAACCATCCATACAAGACTGTGTCAGAATATTATAAAAGAATTATCACCATTCCTCTCATTGACCATCTAAATTCTTCTCTACAAGCACGATTTGACACTGATAGTGTTAATGTTTACAAAGGGCTCAGCATTGTGCCAACAAAACTTTTGTCTTTATCTAGTAAAGGCATTGACTGGAAAGAGAATTTTAAGATTGTTGCCAATTTCTATTATGATGATTTACCAAATCCCTTAGCCTTACTGTCTTTGTGGGACACGTATTGGAAGACGTATGAAGGACCACACCCATCTAACATTGCAACAACTTTGAAAGCTGTTTCTTTTGAGGGCTTTGAAAATATTAAAGTTATTCTCAGAATTTTAGGAACACTTCCTATTACCTCTTGCGAGTGTGAAAGATCAATCTCATCACTTAGGAACCTTAAGAATTATTTACGAAGTACTATGGTTGAAAAACGCTTGAATGGCTTTGCCTTAATGAAAATTCATCAAGAGATTGTTCCGGATGTGGAAAAAGTTATTGATAAGTTTTTGGTTGGAAACACATGATTAAAATTTCATTGAATATTGTTGATAAATTAAATTTTTTACACCTGAATGTGGTAGATGCATATTGAAAGCATCAGATAGAAGAAAGAATCCTCCTTTTTCTCAAATCATTCAAACTGAAGAATCAAAACAATATTACAAATGTCGTATTAAGATTTTGGATTTTCGGTTAGGTTAGAATTTCGGTTAAGGCTAAAGTGTGGTCAAAATGGTGGTTCTAATAACTAGGGCCACAACAAATTCAAATCTTTTCAGCGTTAACCAATATATCTCCGCCTCACTAGCTGATTTATTGAGTTTCTTATTGTCCCCACTAGTACGTATTTGATCCAGTGGCTGGAAAATAGCTTCAAATGCTTCTAAGAAACCATGAAAGACAAAATGCTCCGTCATTAAGCTTGGAATAACATAACCAGGACCAACGAGAAAACGAATTAGGAGAGAACTTACAAAATTGCTTCTTAGTGGAATCATATTTACGAGATGGAAAGTTGTACGTAGAAGAAGGACGCTAATGATTTTTTATAATGTCGAACTTAGTGTCATCGTCAATATCCTGTTGATTACCAACAAAATTTCCAACTTCAAGTGGATCAATGTCAGAGGCATCCAATTTTAATTTTTTTGCAATCTCCATATCCTTGTTTGGAACTTTCCGTTTTAATAACTCTGAAACCACACATTTTTATTGGTAAACATTATACATTGATATACAGCTAGTACTAACTAGTAAGCTGTATGATCTTGGCAACAATGTGCATGCACCTGTTTAATTAGAAAAAAACTAGCTAATTTTAAGCAATATGATTTAACAAAACTGAAACAAAATTCTATTACTTCTAATTAGTTCCTGAAGCAGAATAGATAATGAGTTTTAAATACCACTTGACGTTTCTTGGCATATACTCTTGCTGCTGTCAGAAGATCTTTAGAGTTGTTTCCCTTATCTAAAAAAGAAATTAACATAAATTACAATGAAGTGGTAAAATAGCCATCATGGCCAATGGATGTGTATTTATAAGCTCCGTACTCGTTCTTAGTTTTGTACTGTTTGTTGCTCCCAGAACGGTTGAGTGTTGTTCTGGCTCGTTATACGGGTCTTGTCTGCGTACAAAGTATGTATTTAAGGAAGAATGTTGTGAAAATAAGTGTGAATATCAGCGTTCCTCAGCTGCCGATTTTGATACTTGGAGTCATGATGAATGTATACAAATTTGGATTTATTCGCCCGTTTTACATAACAACTTTAAAGAAATCGGATTGTTGGATTATTGTTATGGTGAGGTAATGCTTCTGTTTGGGGATGGAAAGTGCTGTATTGGATGGAAAGTGCAACAAAGTTTGATACCAAAAGTTGATCTTGAAGTATTGTTCAGCCGAGCTAGACGAACTCGGCCGATTTGCATACACATTCGACCAGCTATTTACATATCTTTTATAAACGATAAACAATTTGCTCTTTGTTTGCCGATAGCTAAATATAATATATAATTTTTCCACAAGAAATCCAAGTTGACATGGGCTGCTTGCTTTTATTATTCCAATTCTTGTGCAACCCAACAAATTCTGTTGAAAGGGGGAGACATTTCTACCAATCCTGGCCCTTGGACTCGACAACAGTTTGTTCAAAAGCCTACTTGTAATATGGCTTGATAAAAACAATAAAAGTAGTACTATCTTATATTATCTTATTACACATATTTCATGTGTTACAAAGTATGCAATTGGTGCAATTATTTTCATCTAGTATTGACTGCATGTCAAAACTGCGTATAGTCTTTTTAAATTGCTCGAGTGATGTTAGGGGATTAAGTTTTTGAGTCTCGTAAGGACGCCAATCCTCTGACTTGCTTTTTTACAACAATCAATAATTACACCTAAAAGTTTCAAGCTTTCAACATATTTAACATTATTTCCTTAAATTTGCAAACAAATATCCTCTCATGAAGTACGATTTTTGTGTATCGTCATTATTTTGTATTTATCATAGTTTTCTTTCAGCAAGTTGCTTCTATACCATTGAGATGCTTTTTCCGCCTTCATCGTGAGTTTCTCTTTTACTACATGTAACTCCTCATCAGTTTCGTATAACTGATGGTCATCCGCATACATAGAAATTTGTGATGGGATCTCATAGGCTAAATCATTCTGAAATATGTTCCAGAGAAGTGGTCCGAGAGCGGATCCTTGGGGACACCCCCTGTTGACTGGTTTCCATGTACTTTTCGTTGTTCCCATTTTTACCCTGTTTGAGCGGTCACCGAGGTAAGAGCACAATAGATCTAAGGCACTACCGTCGCAACCATAAGCTCTCAATTTACTGAGCATTAATGGGGGGTGAAGAGAATCAAACGCTTTGCTCATGTCAGTCGATAATATGGCAACGTTACGATGATTGTCCTTCGCCAATTTCCAATTTTCAATTAGGCAAACAAGGGTGGTCTCACAGCTATGAGATCTACGATATGCGGTAATACAATGATTCAACTGTTTATCAGTTTGTTTTGTTAGTTGTTTACCAACTAGCTGTTCGAAAACTTTGTCAACTGCGGAGAGGACAGTTATTGGTCTATAGTTGTTCTTTTGTTGTGGATCTTTGCTTTTAAAGATAGGGTGCCATTCCCCTCTTTTCCAATTTTGTGGCCATTTTCCATTTCTTATACAAGAATTATACAAGTTACTGCACCGTGACTCATTGTATGTTGAAAAAGTGGACGCAGGGAATAAAGCCTCCTATGAATTTTCGGAATGGACTGTCAATTATTCGTCTGCGCAGAAAATTTGTATGGTAATTGTGTACCGCCCACCAAGTGCCTCCATGAGTCTATTTTTTATGGAATTCTTTGATCATCTTGAATCACTGTTACTATGCAAGGAGGCCTTAATGATCTGTGGGGATTTTAACATTCATGTTGACTCCATTGAAGACCTTGAAGCAATGAAATTTTGTGATTTATTTGAGTCAGTTGGTTTGAAACAGCATGTCCAAGAAGCCACACATGTACAGGGCCATGTCTTGGATTTAATTATAATGCGTGTTTCTGACTATATTATTATTAGTCAACCCAAGGTGGATCGGTATATCTCAGGTCATGCATCTGTTGTCTGTAGTCTAGCCACAGCTAAACCTATCCCAGGAAAACGTAAAGTTAGGTATCTGAAAATAAAATCTGTTAATCGTAATGCCCTGAAACAGGACTTAGTGGCCTCTGGTTTGTGTACAACTTCATATGGCAGTTCAGACAATAAGATGCCTGAAGAAATTGATGCTCTTGTGAATGAGTATAATTCTATTCTGACTCGACTGACTGAAGATCATGCTCCATTGAAAACTAAGATAATCAAAGCAAGAACATCTGCTCCTTGGTACAGCGCCGAAATTGACCTTGCAAATGGACAACGTCGGAAGGCAGAGAGGAAATGGCGAAAAAGTAAGTCGCTGACCGACTTTAACCTGTTTAAGACCAAAAAAAATTATGTGACACACTTAATAAATAAAGCACAAAGAGAATATTATACTGATTTTATTAACCAAAACGGTGACAGTAAATCTAAACTCTTTCGTGCAGTGAGAAGTCTCTTCAATGCGAATGGTGAGATTTGTTTTCCCAATTCATCAGACAACACTTCGCTTTCAAATGATATTTGTTCATTTTTTGTCAGCAAGGTTGTGAGAATCAGAGCTGAAATTGACGCCATGCTTCTTAAATTACAGTTAAATAATACAGTACCTGATGATTTAAAGTTTACATCACAGGGAGGTAATGCCTTGACTTGCTTTCGGGAGCTTAGTCAGGAAGAAGTGAAAACATTAGTTATGAAATCATCTAAGAAGTACTGTTCTCTTGATCCAATGCCAATGCCATTGGTGATGGATTGCCTGGATACATTATTACCGGAAGTTACGTATCTTATCAATTCTTCTTTGGTTAATGGTTACTTCCCTAAAAATTGGAAAGAGGGATTGTGGAATCCAATTTTTAAGAGAGCAGGACTTGGTGCTGTATTTAATAACTTACGCCCGATTAGTTATTTACAGTTTATCTCGAAACTAACGGAGCAAGCTGTATATGAGCAGATATATGATCACTTGGTCTTGAATGGTTTATTTCTAGAATTACAGTCGCCCTACTTAACATGGACCGCCAACATGTGACACTACTTGTATTGTTAGACCTTAGTGCGGCATTTGACACAATCGATCATACTACCCTTCTTCATTGATTAGAAACATAATTTGGAATTGAAGGAAAAGCCCTTGAGTGGTTTTCGTCGTATTTGTTCAACCGAACACAAGGGGTAGTATTTGGTAATGGTGTTTCAGATAGATTTCATCTTCCATGCGGTGTTCCTCAAGGTTCTTGTTTAGGACCGTTACTTTTTACCATGTATGCTAGCAAATTATTTTAGGTTATCATGGAGTATTTGCCATCCGCGCATGCCTATGCAGACAACAGTGAACCGTATTTGTCATTTAAGCCAGACAGTAAAGAAAGTGAGACTGGTTGTGTGTCTGCTATGGAGACGTGTATAAAGGCTATCCGAGCCTGGATGATTGAGGATAAGATGAAGTTGAATGATGGCAAAACGGAATTCCTAATAATAGGATCCAGACAACAGCTAGAGAAGGTTCATATTAATATGCTGTCTGTTGGAAATATTGATATTTCTCCTGTTTCTGAAGCAAAGAGTTTGGGAACAATTGTTGATAGTGCTATGAGTTTAACTCCACATATTAACCACATAGCGAAAGCTGCATTTCATCAACTTTACAATATAAGGAGAATCCGTAAATTCCTTACATTAGATGCAACAAAAGTATTAGTACATGCTTTTGTTACAAGCAGGATAGACTATTGTAATAGTCTCCTTTATGGGCTGTCTGCAAAGTCATTGAGTAAGTTACAACGTGCAGCACCAAAACTTTTTAACGACCTTCCTTGTGAAATTAGACACGAGACAAATTTTAATACATTTAAGATGCTAGTGAAGACATTTTTATTTAGGATAGCTTATGCCTAATTATATCGTTCTTATATTGTAGATTTTAGTATATCACTCTTAGTAATTTGTGTAAAATAGATTATTTAAATTGATATTCTGTAACGCGCATTTGATCATATTTGAATGTAAATTTGCGCGTAATAAGTATTAAATTATTATTATTATGAAGTTGCTTAATATGAAGTGCCAAATATGACAAAATAGATTGTAGTCTATATGTATTAGTGCATCATATGTATGTTATATCTTGCAAAATATATGTTATTGGTGTGTGATATACATCAAGAAAAGACATGGTGATACATTAACGTCGCATGACGAGGCGTATCGAAACACAAAAAAAAATTAATATTTGTGACGTATCACTCTGCTTGTGATATATTTATCACGGTTATTAAATCATGATACATCACAAGGGTCGATATACTTCATGTTGTTTCATATTTAATGGCGCAAACGCAAAATATTGCCGGGAGAGGAGTCGTTAAAAATATAATTTTCATGTTATCACATGGTGGTTTTAGCACAAAACGCCAAAACCAGGTTAACAATACAAAAGTACAATTTAAAAGCACATGCTTGTTTTTAACAATACTTTTTAGTTTTTGCCTTTTTAATTGCTTTTGAGGTTGACTTACTGCATACAATGGGTGATGCAGCAAAAAGCTTAAATTCTATTGTGGAAAATGTCATTATTAACAATTCACAATTTTGTTCTTTGATAACAGATATAATTGAACATGGACAAAATGAAAATGTCAACCAGCAAACAAGTCCTGCTCCCGCAGCGGGGCAAAATTCCAACCAACGAACCACAAATCCCGCTGTGGGGCAGTGCAGCTGTACTATTCAGCAAACATTTGCTGTTACACCAACTCAAAGCTCAAGCAGATGTGGTCAAACATTCAGTAGCCCTATTGCCAAGTTTAGTGCCATTTTTAGACGAGTTGCATCATCTGCTCAGTCGCAACCAGGTAGTGTTCAGTCACAACCAGGTTTCGTTTCTTGTAAAATTGCCTTTTGTTAATTTCATAATTTTGAACTTCGCAACAAGTTTTGGAGCTTAGCAGGGAATTTCGGAATATTTTTGTAGTATTTACTATTGTTAAACCCTTACTGACAGAAAAAAAATGAAGAGCTGGTGAACTCACATGTGCCAGATACCTCCGAAGAAATAGAAAAGGGTGATGATAATGTTGTGAATCATTAAGCAGAATCTTTACTAATGCAGCCAATGATTGATTCAGAATTAAATTACGAAGAGCAGATAAACCAACATCTACCCGACACTTCAAAGGAGTTACAAAAAGATGACGATTCAAATCAATCCTTCATATCAACCATAGTTTGTTACCAAGTTGTACTTCATCTTGCAGTTCAGAAAGCATGGATCAATTGCCTGATTCGCAAACTGAAGTTTCTGATGAACAAACTCTCTTTCAATCTTTACAAGTAATTGAAGATTCCGTTCCAACTCAAGTAGAAGAATCCTCCAAACCTCCGTTAAATACAATGAATGTCGAGTCTCTATTAGAGTCATATCTCATGTGGATAGGTCAACTACGTTACTGCTCAGAATGGATCACAAATCTCGTCAACAATGCTGCAAATAACTCCGTCATCCATTACAAATCTGCATTCACTGAAGTGAGGGATACTTGTGAGAAAATAGTCAAACTTGCAGACCAAACACAGGATATCCCACATATCAAATTACACAAATTATCGAATATTTCTGACGAACCATATAATGTCTCAGAACGAGATGGTCCAGTTGAGCATGACCCTGCAAAAAGGCCCGAAAAGTTTAGCGAGGGGCAGATAAAGTATCTCATTCATATGGACTGTGCCAACCGAAATTATCCGCTTACCCAAAGAATACAGACTTAGCAAAAAAAGGAAAACAGTCATCCTTATCCCCAGTATGGTACAAAGACTATCCATACCTAGAATACAGCATCTCAAGTGACAAAGTCTACTGCTATGTTTGTAAGATGTTTGGAAAAGGATGTGCGGGGCGTGAGAAATCCCAATTACCTTCGATTAAGGAAATCAACGAACATAAATATCTTTACTAAGTAGTGATGAGGCAGTAAAAATCTCAACATCGTACCCCATGTACCTGTATTTGCCATTCCAGTTGAATCTAAGTAAAATCTCAATGGCATTTTCATATGTGGTAGCAGCAATGCTTCAATATTTTTCATATGGACAAGCATTTTTTGTCTTAGTGCACTGTGATGGCCTTGCCAACAGGTTATTGCACAGGACAAAGCACGAAAAAAAAATTCTATCTCCTAATATTCTTTGAATTTTTATTCGTGGGACCAGTACCTTGGCATGGCGGTTCCAACAGAGTTTTCATGTTCCAGGTTCAGTTCCTCTAACATGATGCATGATTTTATACCTTAAAATTTTGTGAATTTCTTCAGCAGAACTTGTCATGTCACAAATTCAAACTAGACCTTGTAAAGTGTATCGAACCTATAGAAAACAAATTAATTTGCATATTTATCTCAATGCATGTTTCTGTTTGCTCTCAGTCAACACTTTTTGGAATTCTATAGCGTTTTTTAATCGTCGCTCGCATGGTCTACACACAAGATGAGGCAAGAAACGTCTATATTCCGAAAAACTTTCTTTGGAGTTTCCTTTGAAGACATTTCGGAAAGTAACACGACTCCTTACAACGAAAGCACATGCCACTAAATGTAACCTGATCCTAACATTTAATATAATATTACGCTGCTGCGATTGGATCTTCCATTTAGTTTTGTCATGCATTTTTCTTCTTCGCTCCTGGCTTGTTTTGTGCTGTGTTTGATGTGGTTTTATGGTTTCATCAAACAATTCATTGCATATATAATGTATGCATTATACTCACATGCCCACTCTAATAAATTATATTTGCTATCTCTCAGATTTTGGGAGACACATGACCAAAGGAATCCAGGGTCTTTGCTGCAGCATGGACCGAGGAGCGTAGGTAAAAGACCCTGGTTACGAGGTTGCAAAACTCCCCTCTTCACTTGGCACCCGACACCAATTAATAAATAACGAGTTAATTGAGTTGCTGGTATTTCAAAAAAATATTGTTTTTAAATGTCTTAACGTTTAAGTAAAAATAACGTTTCCACACTTCTGCCTAGTGTCTTCATCAGGGGTGAACTGTAGTAATGACACTAGACAGGAGTGTCAAAAACTTGGGTCATGAATAGTAGCTAACCTTTCAAGTTTCATTAAAAATCTTTAAATCAGAGTTGCATTACCGATGTTGAATCAATCCCTTGATTGCTGTTAACTTGTTACCATATATCCTTAGTTATTATAGAATCAGTTGAAATAAAAAATATCCCTGATACAATGCGTAATTTGTGTGGTAAAAATATTAGACTCTTTGTCCGCGAGAACTTTTAATAAGCGACTGTCGACTGTTGTGTGATGCGACACATTGCAAGAATATTTTTAAGCCGTTAAATCAACATCTACTGAGAATTGCGGAACAGTTATGCGGTCATCCTATTGTGTTTGATTAACGTTTGCCTCATCTTGTGTGTAGACACTGTGAGCGATGACTAAAAAACGCTATAGAATTCCAAAAAGTGTTGACCGAGAGCAAACAGAAACATGCATTGAGGTAAATATGCAAATTAATTTGTTCTCTATAGGTTCGATACACTTTACAAGGTCTACTTTGAATTTGTGACATGACAAGTTCTGCTGAAGAAATTCACAAAATTTTCAGGTATAAAATCATGCATGTTAGAGGAACTGAACCTGGAACATGAAAACTCTGTTGGAACCGCCATGCCAAGGTCCTGGTCCCACCAATAAAAATTCAAAGAATATTAGGAGATAAAACTTTTTTTTTTCGTGCTTTGTCCTGTGCGATAACCTGTTGGCAAGGCCATCACAGTGCACTAAGACAAAAAATGCTTGACCATATGAAAAATATTGAAGCATTGCTGCTACCACATATGAATATGCCATTGAGGTTTTACTTAGATTCAACTGGAATGGCAAATACAGGTACATGGGGTACTGATGTTGAGATTTTTACTGCCTCATCACTACTTAGTAAAGATATTTATGTTTATATTAAAGTAGGAGAAATTTTTAAATTGCAGAAATTGTCTGAATCCATGCTGAGTGGTTCTAAACCTAGAAATACTTGTGCAATTTATTTGCAACATACCAAAGGTGTACATTATGATGTTGTGCTTGATGTCTGTAGGAATGGTTCTAGTCAATTACCAGAGAACATACTTTAAATCTCTTTCAAGGTTTCCAAGATATACTCCTTTAATAATTATTACAATGAAGTGGAATATTAATAATAATACTTTTAAGGATGTACATGTGCAAAGACAAAAAGGTGAAAAGGCCTTGCATGGGTTGATTAAAAACAACCATTTGTATCATCATGTTACAATAGACAACAAAGTACTTGACTGAAGTACTATATGACCATGCAATAATGGCATCCCAAATGACATTAAACTGATACAAACAGTGGATGAGAAACCTGATTCCAGAAATGAACAAGTGCGTAATAATTTTGACAAATTTAATGTAGAGAGAGTGTATAACGTTGAAACACCAAGCAGTAGTTTTCTTCCTGTTAGTGAAAATGGAAAATTAGTAAATATTAACAAAAAAAAGTAAATATTAACTAAATTTCTTAGTACGTTTTCTGAATAAATGGCCATTGCCCAATCAGTTCGACTCACATTTATAACTTTAATGCTAACAACAGCATTCTTTTTTTTTCTTGACCCCCAAAGTCGAAAATCTGTAAAAAGTGAACATTTTTACCAAAATTCTGGAAACTTTGTGTGCATGCATAAGTAGGCGTTGTCTATCCCTGTCCCAATTTTTGAAATGATTGGTTAAGAAAAAATGCGAGAAATTCAAATTTGATTCTATTTTTCAACACTTTTTAATCCCTTACCCACCTATAGTAGGGTTATGGTTTGAAATTGGTTGTTGTTGACCTGTCCACATGTTATATTTCAACCTAATCTTGGCAGAAAAGAACAAAAGGAACTCTGAGAAACCTCAAAAAAGTATGTGAATTTCCACTGTTTCAAAGGCCCCACATTTCAACGGTTTTTGACTTGTTGTATCAACATGAAACTTTGTGCCATGATACCCAGAAGACCTTGCTCTCGTGTGGTTGAGTTTCGATTTAAAATATTTATACGATAATATTTTACGGATTTTTAAAAAATTATACTTGAAATAATGATACATTAAAAAAAACTGAAAAATATTCCTATATAAACCAAATTGCTCCAAACTTTGTACACATGTGCAAATGGGTGTGGTCAACATTTGTGCCTAGTGTGGTCAATATTTGTGCCTAGATATCTTAAAAGGAAAGGGAAGAATGAGGGTTAAAATGAATGTTGTCTGTTGGTGAAAAAACACCCCACCTGAAAAATCCAGTCAAAGACCAACCAAAGTGAGAAAGGGTAATCATGGCGTGGTCCTAAACACGTGACCACGCCCACTTCCGGTTTCAAGTTCTCACATTGATATATATCATCAAATACACAATCCAGTAAAGGTCCAGAAAAATCCACTAATGGACCACAAAAATCCACTAAAGGACCAGGAAAATCAAGCAAAGGACCACCAATTGTATAAATACTTTCAATTTTATCAAGATTTCATCCCATTTCAACCAAAGTGAGGTGGGGTAGTTAGGGTGTGATCCTAAACATGTGACTACGCCCACTTCCGGTTTCAATCCTTTTAGACTGATATATGCTAATAAATACATACCAACTAAAAGATTACGAAAATCCACTAAAGGACCAGAAAATCCATTAAAGGACCAGCAAATCCACTAAAGAACCACCTGTAGAATAGACTTAAAATTTTATCCATTTTCAACCAAAGTTGAGTGGGATAATTAGGGCGTGGCTCTAAACGTGTGACCACGCCCATTTCCGGTTTCGAGTTATACACACTAAGATATATAAAAAACTCATATTTTTATGGTTAAAAAGTTTTTGCAAAAAATTTCTCAGCATAAAATGTTTAAAATCACATCAAAAAACACATAAAAATTTTCCGGGAAGAAATTAAATTGGAAATATTTTACTCCCTAAATGCCTCACCTAATTTTAGTTTAAGGTGGGAGTTCACCTAAGATGTGCTCAAAAATTAAAAATGAGTTTTAACATTTTTTTAAGTCTTTGATATCCTAATTATAATGTGGCCAAACCATTTCTTTAAATTCAAAGTATTTATATGGTTTTGAGAAGATTTAAGTTGCACCTTTAATGTTTGTATACTCGTTGCTATAGCAACCAATATGGTTTGCTTTATTTTTGCCTCGTTTCAAAGAGTCTTTTTTACATAAGTCAATCCAAAAATTAAAGATTTGCATTATACACAATACCCAGCCTTACATGAAGAACTGACTGCCCTGAGAATCGTGGGCCCTCGGCATGATTCTGCCCTTCGAAATAATTCGAATTATCTGTGTGTTCTGCGTTCACAAAGACAACAAGAAGTTTTTATTCGCTAGAATATAGCTGTTAAATTTGTTAAACGAGTAATGGTTGGAAAAAAACCTAGATCTGCATACAAACGGAAGAGGAAAGGTAAATTCTTTGGGCGCAGATACGAAGCGGGGCAGACAAGCACAACAGCAGAAGTTGATCGTGGGCAGGATGATTCTGCCGCGCGTGAAGCATCCTAAACATCGGATCATTCGGATGAGCCTGATGTCGTTGAGAATGTGGTTGGGACATCAAGAAAGAAGATGAAAAGTGGCACAAGCGACATGGATAGCCAGGTTTTGATCAAAAATAAGGAGGAGTATAGGATGGTCAGTTTAAACTGTCTATCTACAGCTGTATCAAATATAGAACATGTGTGTGGGCAAGGTATTTAAACATTCATCATATATTTGCCATCAGCATTTATAGTTACAAAACATTTTTCAACCATATGTCCACATCATGTGTTTTGTTCTTATTTCCTTGTTTTTTTCAATACAAATACAATTGATATTAGATATACAATTGGTGTTCCTATAGCCATAAGTCAGTCCCAGTGTTCATCACAACTTGCTTCCCAGCTACATTTATGGTTCATTAATGATAGGTTATATGACTATTGGAGAAGAAGGTAGACATGCTGGTCTGATGTCAGAGTTTACCCTCAACTGTAGCCATTGTAAAGAGTCCAGTACCTTCTCTACATCAAGAAATGTTGTTAATCACGGCGTGTCTTACGATGTGAATCGCCATGCTGTATACCATGCAATTGAGAGTGGTGGTGGATACAAAAGCCTGGCCTCATTCTGTAGTATTTTCAATATGCCTTGTATTTCAAAACCAGCATATTATAAGCATGTAGAAAATATTATGGAAGCTCTCAAAGAAGAAGCAAAACAGGAGATGAAGAGAGCAGGAGAAAAGCTGAGGAAGCTTATAATAGCAGAAAATCCCGGAAAAAGTGAAACTGACATTTTAGATGTTGCCATCACCTTTGATGGTACTTGGGCCAAACGTGGATTTACTTCCCTTACAGGAGTGGTATTTGTGATCTCTGTGGACAGAGGTTCGAGAGGTTTTGGATTACCATGTCCTTTCTAAAACATGCCACAAGTGTTCCTTGAAAAGATCCAAATTAAAGGATGATCAGTTTGAGGATTGGCTATTGGAGCATGATGATTGTGATATCAATTTTGTAGGGAGCTTGCCTGCAATGGAGTCAGAAGGGGCAGTAGTTATATGGGAAAGGTCTGTTAGCAACCATAATTTGAGGTACAATGGTGAGTGATGGTGACAGTAAAGCGTTTGGCTCGGTGGAGGACGTGTATGATGACGTTTAAGTAGAGAAACTGGATTGTGTTGGGCATGTCCAGAAGAGGATGGGCAAGCACCTCCTTAACCTTAAATCTACTACGAAAGGGAAGCTTGATGATGGAAAGACAATTGGTGGTTGTGGACGCTTAACAGAATCTAAAATTAAGCAATTACAGAAATATTATGGGCTAGCAATTCGCCAAAATACTATCAAAAAGCTAAACCCAACAGAAAGGGAGATTGAAGTGGCTGCCTACAAGATGAAGAAAAATATAATTGCAATACTTCACCATTGTGTAAAGGGGAATGATCCTGCTCAAAGTGATCAGCAGCATTGCTTTTGTCCGCCAGGAGAAAGCTCTTGGTGTAAGTGGCAACAAGACAAAGCTTCCGGGACATCCACTTACTCTGGTGAAGATTGTTTACCATCTGTATTCAAAGAAGTGCTAAAGCCAACATTTTTGGCCCTAAGCGAAAGCGGATTGCTGCAAAGATGTGTGCTTGGCACCACACAAAACCAGAATGAGAGTTTGAATGGTTTAGTTTGGGCCCAATGTCCAAAACATAAACATCATGGGTCCAAAGCAGTTCATTGTGCCGTCGGGTCTGCTGTCTGCCACTTCCACAAAGGGGCTGAAACTAGACTCAGGGCAATGAAAAGGCTGTCCATTGATCCTGGGTCTCATACTAAAACAGCCTGTCTGAAGAAAGACAAACAAAGAATGAGAAAGTCAGACAAGCAGGCAACCGATAAGGAGAAGAAGAAGCGGCAAGGGATGAAGCTCCTGCAAACTCAACGGGAAGAGGCTCTTTGTGATAAAGAAGGTGTTTCATATGAGGCAGGAGCATTCTGACACTGTAAACACACAAGTAAACATAGATACTGTTAAGTTTTAACAAATCCAATGATTTTCAGTAATTATATGACTGAAATATTGTTTTGATACTAGAACAAGAACTTTAAATTCCATTTTCTTAAGAGCAATATTTTTACCGGTCAGGAAAAGATATCTCAAGAAGGATTCAACCAATTTTTATGAAATTTTCGCTGATTATAGATCTTAATAAGTTTTGTGATTTGAGTTGATTACTTTTTTCATAGGGTAAATAACTTTAGAGTTAATGGCTGTTTCACTTTCAAAAATTGTATGTCGAAAATTTAACGAGCCGTAGCAAATTTGTTCAATTTCATGAGAAAAATGTTCTCAACTCAAATCAGCAACTAGTATATGAATGCAAGTTTGATGTATAAAATTATAAAATTGAATGCATTTTGCAAGCTCAATCTTTTCCAGACTGCGGCCTGGTATAATATATCAATAAACAGCACAGAGCCACCTTAATATTAGATTTCAACATCATGAACATTTCTTTTTTGGAATCTTCAAGCTCTAAGCTTTCTGGCAATATATAGTTTGTGGGGGGTTTAACTAAACCTTATCCAAGGGAAGCATTTTCCACGCAAGACATAAACTCTGGTTAACTCCCACTTAATACATTGGGTGGTCCTTTAGCGGATAACACGAAAAAATCCATCAAAGGACCACGAAAATCCACTAAAGGACCAGAAATCCACTAAAGGACCACCCGTATTTTAGAGACTTCAATTTTATCAAGATTTTATCAATTTTAAACAAAAGTTGGGTGGGGTGATTAGGGCGTGGCCCTAAACATGTGATCACGCCCACTTCCGGTTTCAAGTTTTTTAGACTGATATATGTCTGTAAATACATGTGTGGTTAATTTGGTGATTTTATTTTAAACTATGGCATAGTTCTAAACACATGACCATGCCCAAGTCTTTTTGACTGATATATGTCATGAAATACATAATCCAATCAATTAGCACAAAAATCCACTTAAGAATCAGTTTTCCATTTTTTATATTAAAAGACTTTTCCCAAAATCCCAATTTCAATAATAATAACAATTATTAACAATATTTACAATTATTTACAATAGGAAAATTGTTCTTTTGGTCCAGTAGAAGTGAGTGAGAAGCCTGCTGGCAAACTTACAGAAGACGAAAAGAAACTGTACAATGAAACTTTGAAGATGGAACAGCACCTTATATTTTAAGCTTACAACCGTATTATTGAGAAAGTTAAGATTATGCGTCAAGACTTTTCGAAGGCAGTGGTTTCTGGTAGCAGAATTGGCAGTGGAAAGATTGTCTATGACAACTACGACGATCTACAAGATATTTAGGGTGGTTCAGCAAATACAATGCCTCTTTTGACTGGAATTGATGGTTCTTTGATAAATGATGGAAACTGTGAGGTATTTTCATATCAACATGACTTAAGCTTATTAGAATGTGATGAAGACTTGCCAGGTACATTATTATAAACTATACATAATTATTGTATAAAGAATCTTTTTATTTTATTAGTAAAGTGAAAAGTACAATTATTATGACTCTAACTACTTAACGAGCTTGTACTGATTTCATTTTTACAGTTAATGAACCAAATGTTAACCAGGATCTATCAAATTAATCGATAACAAGAGAAAACACCTGGAAGGAAATCTCTCGGCTGCGAAACGTGATGCCCTTTTCTTGGAGGAATCATAAAACAAAAATTTTTTTGAAAGGAACAGATGCAATCAAAGAATCAACTGTGTCAATGGCTCAGGCTGTGCAAGGAATTAGTCAGTCCATGGTTCAAGTTAGTACAGTACTTGGCAAAAGTATTGAATTCATGGCTGGTTGTCCTTCTACACCTCAGAATGGTGGGTATCTTGCTAAGAATCATAATGAAAGTCATCCTTTTAACCCCTACCATGGAAGCAGTATGATGCTGCAAACTCTGAAATTTTCTCTTGCATTTTGCTGTTATCTTTTGGGAGTTTTAAGTATTTTGGCCCTAAAAGTTGAGTAATGACTTTGCAGACCATTTGAATTGTTTTCGAAGCAGTTGAAATGTGTATTTGAAAAGTATTGGCGTCATTCTTAGGGATCCAGTGTCCTTTAGGTAATACAAAGTGATAGCCAATCTTTTTTCTGCTCAAAGAGAACAAGAGTTTGGACAGTTCGGTTTTGATGAAATGTGGGGTCTTATTTCATCCAACATCGCAAAAAACTGAAGTCGAGAAAGTCTAAAATTCGTCTTCCATTCTTCATCAGGCAAGCTGCTGTTAACCATGTTCACCCACCACTGATCACTTCTGCCCTCTTGATACGAAAGAGCCTTGGACTCTGTAAGAATCTCATCATTCTCTGACGTTTCTGTATTTGCAAGTGCAAATTTCTTCTTGCCAAAGACTTTTAAGTAGAATAACATTTCTTACGAATATATAAATTTGAACTATGATAAATATGCAATGCATTTGCAAAATTATTACACAAAAGCATGAAAAAATAAAGTTGACGTTTCGGAATGTTTTCATTTTTCTTTCCTGCATTTGTAAAAAACTTTTTGAAATTTCGCGCGCTACATAGTCAGTACGTCATGTAATTACAATGTACCGTAACAAATACTGAGTTACCCAGTTCCATATAAACACAAGACAAATCAGTTTAACAGACAAATTAAATACTTCGGGTTGTATTGTATTCATATTGCGGGTCATGATGCTAGCATATAATTACGTAAGATCACCAATGAAAATGAATTTTAAGCAAAATTTTAAGCTAAATAACAATAAACTAAACCATGTCCAAGGTAATTGTCACAGTCTTCATACCAGGGGTGGATCCAGAGGGTATCAAGCGTAGCTCTAGATACGGTCAGATTTTCCTGTAAAACATTTTCTATAATATATTCCAAAAATATTCCATTTTATTGCATGCTATTTATGTTTACAAAAAATAATGAAAATTTGAGTTATTACAGCTCTTAACATATAAACGTTTTTACGTCCTTAAATAGAGCTTTATCGAAAAAAAGCAGAGAACTTTCCGAAAGCACAAACCAAGGGATTAAATTCAATCGAAAATTGATAGGGAAAATATTTTTTATGCATCCATGGTGTACTGATACAGTCTGCGGTTCAAATTTTACTAAAAATAGTAACTAAATAAGGCATTTAGATACCTTGGAGTGTATCTAGCCAATCATAGGTCATGTATCTGTGACGTTGGATACCCTTTGATACCTTGGCTGTGTTTTGATGGTGCAAGAATAAAATTTATCGTGAAACCTTGGAAAGTTCGTTCGATATTGCTAACAACAGCATTCTTCTATTATAAAACGTGAGTCGAACTGATTGGGCAATGGCCATTCATTCAGAAAACGTACTAAGAAATTTAGTTAATATTTTCGACCAGTCAAGTTGTAGAGAAGATGTTTTAAGAGAACTTTCGGATCTGAAACAGTTGTGCATGGATTTACTGGTCTAGAAGAGGCAATCGTCAGAGCGCCAGTGCGTCAATGTTTGTGTATGCACGTTCTCAAAGCTACAATTTCCGAAGAGCCAACTTAATAGATGTGTGCTTCACCTTAAATATATATCACTCATATAATTGACTATAAAAGTTTGCGGTGACTGTGCTGAATGAAAATTTTGTGTGTAAATTGTCTTGAATATATTTTAATTTAATTCATACTGTTTGGATTTAAATTAAGTCTAGTTTAATTGCTCACAAGAGGCCTTCAGGACTCCCAATGCATGTCCTTTCTACATTTAACAAAAATTTGCATGTTTAGATAGGTTCACGCCTAATGGCTTTATGTACATGTAATGAATATAACTATAGATCGTATATCAATGATATTTGATATGGTTTTCCCCTGATATGGTTTTGCCCTAGCCTCGTAGTAAAACTTTATAGTCTTTGGACATAGTATTGATAAAAGAGTAGTGAATGTCATTAGTAACAGTATACAACAATACTTCGGACTGTTGACAAAGTTATTCAATTTGCATGTAGCAAAAGACTACATCAAAAAACATTACTGTCATATATGAAATTAAATGAATGTGTTACCCTGTACAAAATAATAAATGTCAAAAAACTAGCTATTTCATGTAAGGTGTATTACGTTGAACCCACTCATATTATTTAACTATAACCCACTTTAGTACAATGCCGGATGCCAACCATCCTGTCATTAAATCACAACACAATAGTGGGGCGTTTACCTCACTTCAAAATGGCTTTGCAATGAGCCTTTCCGGTACAGCTCTTTCCACATTTGAAAAGTTTGGTTTTAATGCAGCTGTGGTTGAAGAAGCCAAAAATAATGCGAAAAATTACGAGTTTTCATCTATGATGTGCCTTTTTGCATCAGCATCACTACTTGGTTGCGCTATTGAATCCTATTACCCTATAACCAATGACTTTGCTCCAAGAGAGGACTGGGATTCTCTAGCAAAGATGTTCAACTGCACCGTTTTCCCAAGGCAAGATGCTGATGTGGACACACTGGAATGTGTTCATATTTTTCGGTGTGCTACTATGCCACAAAGACATTTAAAAATCCCAACAAATAAAAATCACTATGTTCTCTTGTGCCAACCAATCACTAATCTTGAACCTGGTGCGAGTGACTTTGAGCCTAAACCACTTTTGATGTGCCATTATGAAGCCAAATGTACTCCCTCATCATCTAAGCCAACCTTTTCATCCCTTCAATAAAAAAGAGAAGGTGAAGCTGTTAATACAAAAAGGAAACAACTAAGTTCGGATGCGTTGCCTCCGAAGAAGACAGCTAAGACAGCCCAACAACAATCAGCTTCTTTGAAAAAAATTTCTCTCTCCACAAGCTCTTGTAGTAAAGGCAAACTTGTGGAAACATCTGCTATGAACCCACCAATCATAAATGTAGATGTAACAAAAATTAATACTCGAAAAAGTCATCGTCGAGATATATATAGATATATATGTAAACAAGAGTTCGTCCCTTACTGA